AATTTGTTCTTGAATATTCTATACCACAGAAAGAGCATGGGTCATCCTTGAAGGTGGCCACAAAGCAGAAGCTAAGCACGCCACCTTTATCTTTTTAAGGTAGAATGCACAGGGAAGGCAGCTGTGTCAAAACTGAGTACAGATAGGGACCTCAACAAAGATGGTCTTCAATAACAGAGAACCCTGTTTTGAAAACAAAAACAATAACACCAAAGAACCAAGTCACAGAGGCAGCTTTCATTGTCATCAGAGTTAGAACTAAACAACAATAGGCTCTTTCATCTCTTGGAACAAAGTAGAACCAGAGTGCAGAATCGTTTTTTTCAAGCAGAAGTCCTTAGCAATTTTAGTGCCTCTACATTTTAGGTCTAGGGTTAATTTTCTAGAAGCCTCAGGTGCAGCCGGGCGGTGGTGGCACACACCTTTAATCCCAGCACTTGGGAGTCAGAGGCAGGCGGATTTCTGAGTTCGAGGCCAGCCTGGTCTACCGAGTGAGTTCCAGAACGGCCATAACTACATAGAGAAACCCTGTCTCGAAGGAAAAAAAAAAAGCCTCAGGTGTGCTGAGCTCTTGAAATTGACTGATAACATCTGTGGAAGCTTCAGATCAGGCGACGTACATACTAAACCCACTGATACCGACTACTTCCAGACTTCAGGGGGAACTGACCCATAGACTTTTTCTATCCCCTAACTCCTTTTCTAATCTATAAAACCCAAGACCTCCTTATCTCATAGAGACAGTGTCATCCCCACAGAGAGACTGTAGTCCTCCCTGATTAAAGAACAGCTCTACTTCTGGAATTGCCTGCCTTTGCTTTATTTCCTTTCTTTTTCTTTTCTCTTCATATTTATTTATTTTTAAATCAAATCATAATTATTATTCACACAGGAGTTATAAACACAAAAAGGCAGGACATGGGGAAGGGGATGACACTGGAGTGTGGGTGTTCAGGGGGAATACAGATCTTTCAGAACCGGGTATCAGCTGGGTGAAGGTTCAGGGGACAGGTCGCTATGACTCTGCCTATGATTCACTTGTCCTTCTCTAAGTTGGTATTATCTGTCAAGGCTACCTATTTACAAGGTCTATGACTACTCAGGCTAGTAAATTTCCACAAAAGCTGCCTGTTTACAATAGCTTATAGCCATCTGTTTCAATGTTTTCCCACAGAGACCCAAGACTTGGTGTTAGTATACATGTATGACAGGTCTATTGCTGATTTTAGGCCTATGGCTGATTTTAGGACTTCAGTATATAAGCAGGGCTGCCCCAGACATCTCCCTTCTCTAAGTATAGAAGGGCTGTGGTGATTCTAATCTTGCTTCACTTTATTTCCACAGTGCCTCTATCAACCCTTACCTAACATTAGGAAGAGTCTGATTTGCATGTGCAATCAGCCAAGCAGCTCAAGGCTGGGGCTCAACCTTGAGATATTTATCCTGTCAAGAATTCGCTTTGAGCTGTGCTTCTGTGAAGAGTTTGAACTTTTGGATGGGCAGTGTCAAATTTGCTTGGATTTTCATGGATAGCATATTAAGCACAACTACCACCGTCACTTCATTAATGTCTATGTATTTTCTTTTAAGTCAGTTTTAATGGTATTCTGTTGACAGCTGCGGGTGGAAATATTTTCAATATATGTAAATTTTCAGCAGAGGCATATCAGTGTTTCTTTTACACATCAAAACGTTTAGGGAGAGGTTGCTTTGGTTCAGATAACACGGATGTTACATCCTGGAGTTTATGTTTACATCTTGACCTTCTTCTTAGTAGTCCCAGTTTCAAGGTTTAAATGTCATATTAACAGTTTGTCTGCCGGGCTTTGGTGGCACACGCCTTTAATCCCAGCACTTGGGAGGCAGAGGCAGGCGGATTTCTGTAGACCAGCCTGGTCTACAGGCTGAGTTCCAGGAGTGAACTTCCAGGAGTGAGTGAGTTCCAGGACAGCCAGGGCTACACAGAGAAACCCTGTCTTGAAAAAACCAACCCCCCCAAAAAAACCCCAAAAAACCAAAAAAAAAAAAAAAACAAACAAACAACAACAACAAAACAGTTTGTCACTAGTGCCGAACACCTAGCATGTAATTGTTCATGCATGAGGTCTGTCGAATCCCAGCCAAGTAAGAAACGAAGTCATTCTTCCAAGCTGGAACCAATGCCTTGTCTTTTGACCTTAGCTCTCAAACAAGCCAGAGTTTCTAAAGAAAAGTGACTCTTTCTGGGCTGAGGATGTAACCCAGTGGGATGGAGTACTTATTTAGATGCAGGAGGTCCTGGGTTTGATCTCCACCACCACATGCCTGTAATTCCACAACTTGGGAGTGGAGGCAGGAGGATCAGAAGTTCAAAGTCATCTTTCAGTAACAGGGACTTTGAGGTCAGCCAGGCATAGATCCTGTCTCAAAACCACCGCCAATGGAAAATAAAAATGCTTTTCCCACATTGTGAATTTGTCCTAGTTGGCGTTGTTACTGTGATGAATGACCAAAAAAGCAACTTGAGGGCAGACAGGGCTTATTTCAGCTAGTAGGCTACAGATATAACCCAGGGAGGCTAGGATAGAAGCACAAAGCAGGAACCTGGAGGCAAGAACTTGAAAGAGAAACCAAGGAGGGAGGGCTACTGATAAACTTGCTTGTTGCCTCAAGTTCAGCTCCCTTAGAAAAGCCCAAGCCCAGGGGCAACAGGGCCCACAGTAGGCCCTACTTACATCAATTAACAACCAAGAAAATGTCCAACAGATAACGCCCAAAAGCCCATCTAATCTGGGCAATTCTTTGCAGTTGATGGTCCCTCTTCCAGGTGTGCCATTGATTACCAAGATTGGCCATCACAATACTGAATTTAGAGTGAACAAACTTGGTATTTAATTTCAAATAAACACACTCACATACACTCTACAATTGTCTCTCTATATCCATATATATAGCTAATCCATAACTAAGAACACTATCCAATTAATACAATGTGTCTAATATATTACTGCCAGTTCTATTCTCATATATATGTGTGCATGTGCGTGTGTAAGTAAAGCCAGGACAAAGAATCTCACAGGGACAGGGCTGTTTTGGAAGCACATCTAAGTTCCGTATGATTGCATTCAAACGAGGGAAAATTTGACAAGAGGTATTTAAGTCTTGAAACTACTACCAAGTCAGGCTACAGGTTATCATCAGTGCAGATTTGACCACCATGCTCAGTGAAGGCAGTAATTATTTCCTTCAGGTTCAATTCCTTTCTCTTCCTATCCCCCTGAGATGGAATCTCACTATGTAGCTCTGGCTGGCCTAGAATTCAGAAATCTGCCTGCCATCAATTAAAGGAGTCCTGAGATTAGAGAGTGTACTTACACTCAGCTTTCTACAATCTACCAGTTACCTAACTGGAGGCTCACTTCCTGTTGCAGTAAATCATTTTCTTTTTTTTTTTTTGCTTTTTCATAACAGGGTTTCTCTGTGTAGCCCTGGCTGTCCTGGAACTCACTCTGAGGACCAGGCTGGCCTCGAACTCAGAAATCTGCCTGCCTCTGCCTCCCAAGTGCTGGGATTAAAGGCGTGCGCCACCACCGCCCGGCACAGTAAATAATTTTAAAGCCCTCTGAAAACCACCTGACTGTAAAATACTAAGTCATAGCTAATCCATAGCTAAATGCACTATGTTGTTAATACAATGTTGCATGCCTCTACTGTAAATGAACATTTTAATTTTACTTCTTTCAGTATTGCTTAGTGTAGTTGCTCAGAGGTAATGCAGAAACACTGTCAGACACTTTTAAAGCCGTCTTTAATTTCCAATTCATGAGTTAAGGAGTTGGAGACACACACGCCAACGTTAATTCAAGGGCTCAAGAGTGTAGGGTATAAATGTGTACAGCAGATACTAATTTGTGTATTTTAACCTTTCACTTATAAATTAAGAAACCAAGTCACTTCCTTCATCTGAAGCATTCTTGCCAAATAAATATTTCCTGAAACTGAAATACAAAAAAAAATTGTTACTGGTAAGGAGTGGGAGAATTCTTGAACATAATCTGGCACCAGATTCTAAACCCTTTGCAGTACTCCGAAGTAAATCGAAGTATCAGGAGTGGCTATTTGTCAGATTGTAACACAACAGATCCTGTGAGTGAGATTCAAGCCGGGCTATGGGACAGTTGGCAGGTGAGTGTAGAGGGAAGTGTTGCTCCCACTGGGTACTAAGCAATGATCAATGATTGCTGGCTATTGCAAAATGCCCCCTGGCATCTATTTTAGGGTACCTCTAAAAGGAGACTGCATCTCCTGACTGAGTAATCACATCACTTGCTTCATGATCCCAACTCAGAAGCTGGATCAAGTCGTCACTGTATTATCTACTAAAAGTGCCCCCCACTCAAGCAAGCACAAAGCATTTCGTGTACACAAGACGGGCTAAAGTTATATAGCTGAGGGTGACCTTGGATTTCTGATCCCTGTATACCACTACGCATGATTTACCTGACACCGGGAAATAAATTCAGGGCATCTTGTGTGCTAGGCAAGCCATCTATGCACCGAGCTATACTTCCAACCTTCTACTAAGTAAATTTTATAACAGCCAACTTGGATTTAAGAATGCAGTTTATAAGTCTTTAAATTCTTATTAGATTCAAGGTATTTCTTGGATGTTATTGCAGGACATTGCTGTACTCACAGAAAATATAAAGCAAACCTCAGTTTATACTATACAGGTAAGTTTATAATGCAAAGGGACTTTTAGCACCATATATACACAATCTCAATAAAGTCAAAATTTTTAGTAATCATGACAGCAGCTTTCTCCCAATAAGCACGTTTATTTATGGGCTATGCGGTAATAGTGTATCATTTAATTAAAAAGCAAGAACCTATAGATCAACACTTTTTAAGTGCTAGACTGGCATGTAAAGCTTTAAACATGTAAGATGGAGTATCATTTTCTTTCCAATTTTCAAAAAAATCCCGTTCATTTAATGAGCATGAACTAGGAAAATGAAACATTTCAGATTATTCAAAGTTAAAATTTATTAAGCCATCATGTGCCAAATACTCAGGTTTAAATTAATTTCAAAATATATACAGGCATGTAATGAACTTAAAAATGAGAAAACTGGACTGAGAACAACTGCACAGAGCTACAAGTGACTGATGGAACTGAATTAAAAAAAAAAAACAAAAAAAAACAAGGTCCTCCGTTACAAACTGTTTTCCCTCGGTACCCACCATTCAATTGACTCATATTATCTAGACCTTTAAAGAGCAATTTTTAATAAAAAGCACTTGGTAACCCTAACAAATTTGTCCATAAATTGAAATGATAGTAACTGAATCCATTGTTTTCTACAATTTAATTTTAAGCAAAGTGACCTCAGTGACAAATGTGTTTCATCATTTATTTAGATGCTGAAGCTCTCGCACTAAGTTTTTACAAGCTGGTGAACACTGACAAACTATGTCTCCCACATAACTATAACCACACATTCCCAGACAGTATAAATATATGGTTGAACTAACATTAATACACATCACCATTTTATCGATTACATAATAAAACAAATGATCAAGTATCCAATTATTAAGTTACATAGCTCAAAAGGCGTAAAAAATATTTCTGCTCAGTTCATTAGCAGATCCCACTTTTTTCTTTTTTGCAAGAGATTGGGAAGAGAAGGGGAAAACCATAATTCAAACAAGTTGGAAAACTTCTGATAGGCATGGAGAAAACAAGAATTTCAGAAATTTTGATTAAGAATTGGTTAGCTACAACAATGTATCTCTATGTCTTAAAAATATTTACTAACTTAAAGAGCATACTCTACATGTTCTTCACAAGACAAAGGCAACATATTACTAAAAATATTTACTAGCCTCCTCTTGTTTCTTTTTCAGGCCCTCCATTAGGTTGCACCTCTGAGTGCAAACATTAAATTAACTATAAGGCTTTTTTGTCTGGAGACATTATTGAAGATATGTGCTTCTGTAACAAAGTTGATTTTCAAAAGGAGGTTTCCCAAAACAGCACAACATAAAGACAGAGACATTAAATAATCAGCACAAGACAGTTAAAAAAAAAGATGGCTAAGCAAACCTGATGTATTCTGGTGAAAAATGGGAGATGTAAACAGTGAGCAGGCAGATAAGAAAGAAGCCCTGCAGTGTTTGAAATGACTGAAGGAATACACCATGGAAGGTCTAGAGAGATCTTAGTTCCTGCAATTTTGGTTCTGTATGATGCTAAAAATATACAGGTATTGTGCTGGGTATTTTGGCACCTACTCCTTCTAAATTCCTTATAGACTAATAATATTCTGGCACAGGAGTACATTTAATGACAAAACTCAATACCTTATTTTAGGAAAGGTCAACTGGTACAAATAATAAGCACATTTTAAATGCTGACCAGCAAAAATCATTTGCTAAGTGTCCAAACATGTTGATCATAGCCCAAATATAGAGGTTACAATTCTGTCAAGCTTGTGGCCTGGTAAAACTGGTTTTCAATATTCCTGTGGAGCTTCAGCAGACTTACTCGGTAAACCGAGACATTGGGTAACTATGTATGACAAATCAGGTCTCATCTGAATTTCCACTTCCAAGGCAATGGCATCAGGCACCCCAGTTTTATTGAATACAACAGTTGTTTCTATGACCATTGGAATCCTTGAAGCGGAGCCGCATTTTTGGACGGTACTTCTCCAGATACAAAAGTTGCTTGCTGTTAAAAGCTCCGCGCCGCTTTCTGAAAGGAAGAAAAAGACAACTCTTTTTGATCATGATTAGAAGGATGGCATTTCTGATAGCAAGGAAAATAAAGACCAAAGGACCCATCTAGAAAACTGAGATTTCTAAATAATGTGCCAAGTTATTTTATTTAACTTTTATCCTATAAATGATTCAGAGACTAGGGCAAAACAACCTCCCCACCTCCAGTTATATAACTCAGCAAACTGTAAAGTAACAAGCACACTGAGTAAAAAAGCAGAAACAATACAAAACAAAAACAAAAAACCCTCAACAATTATCTGCATGAATACAAAAAGGTTGGGTAGGGTCCCCTCCCACCACTAAAATTAGGATAATTTTTAGTTATCCTAAAAATAACAATTAGGGGGACAGTTAAGAACACTTGCTGCTAAAACCAGGACCTGGTTTAAGTTCCCAACACCCACATGGTGGCCCACAGCTGCCCATTACTACACTCCCATGAATTCAATGCTGTTTTCTCACCTCTAAGGGCCACAGGCACACAACATATACACAGAGAAACACACAGGTCCAAACAAAGAAAATTAGTTGATACATAGTTTGGATTTACTTAAGTCAGATATTTAATAAGAAAACACAAGCAGGCATGGAAGAGGACGGTACATTACTTACTGTCTTATGAACTGTACTGCATCTTCATATTTCATTCCACCTTCAATTAATGCTAGGGCAACAAGCACCGGAGCTCTGGTGAGATAAAAATGTTGATCACTAAACCCTGTAAAACTGTTCATATACCCTAGATCTAAAAATATAACTCAATTCAATGATAGCCTTATATTAAAAATCCTAGAGCTTAGTTTTGATGCTACAAGCTTAAAATCTCAGCTCCTTGGAAAGCTGAGGCATGAAGATTACAATTTCAAAGCCTGCTAGAAGTGACTTCAAGACCAGCTGGGACAGCTCAGTTGACTGAAAATAAGACAGCTGGAAAAGTAGAGGTATAGCATAATGTTAGTGTCCTGTTTAGCATGCAGGAGGGGCCAGGGTCAATCCCAAAGAAAAGAAAGCATCTTAACCATTAGTACTTCCAACTTAGACCTTTATCTAGAACAGCAGTTCTCAACCTGTGGACTCCATATCAGATCTGTGTATTATGATTCATAACAGTAGCAACAAAATGTTATGGCTGGAGGTCATCAGAGCATGAGGAACTGTATTACAGGGCTGCAGCAGTAGGAAGGGTGAGACTCACTGATCTACAAGGAAAATAGGTATTTCCTTACCTGCCAAGGCCTGCGACACAATGGACAGCAATACAGCAACCAGGTTCTTCACGAAACTTAATCTTCACAAGACTTAACCAGTCATCAACAATCTGGTTGGATGGTGGTGCACCATCATCAAAAGGCCAGTCCTGATCCAAAAGAAATGTTTTAGAGTTTTAACTTAGCCAATCTCCAAATCCAAGAGAGACAGGCAGTATGCTGAGTTCATAGTACTTTCCTGGCTAACTAGGCCATGCAGCAAGACACTCACACACATGTTACTATTGTATGATTTTGCCTTGACTTAAAAAACATGAAGTCTGTTATGAATAAACTTCTGTAGTGTAACAGACAGGAAAACTCAAGTACTTACAAGAACATGAATGCCTTCTTTCTCCACAAGAGTAGTGTCGTAAGTTGCTTCACATACTCTTACTATTGTGGTAACTCCATACTTCTTAAGTTCCTAGGAAACAATGCATACATACATTAAAACCAGTGAGGTCTTTGGAACCAGTCTTACTGTGCCATATGCTATCTGCACCATTTTTGATCATGCCGGTAAACAAATGGCAAAATCTGCTCTGCATGTTTCACATTCTAAGTGTAAAGAGGATTGCTAAATGCTATGTTATGTTGGGGGGAAACAAACAAACACAAACTCTGGTAAAGTAAAGCAAGCAAGCAAACAAACCCAAACCCAAAATTCTAATTTCCATGAGTACTCGGGTGCTCCGTGGAGAGGCCACCAGGTCAACCTCCGGTGCTATTCACTTCATTTTGAGACATGACCTCTCACTATCTGGCACCTTGCCAGCAGGCTAGGCTGGCCAGCCACTAAATCCAAGGTGTCCCTGCTCGATGTACAACAGCTCAAGGCTTTCTAAATATGGACTTTGAAGAAGCAGCAGGGATGCCAACAGGAGCAGTAAAGCGCTATACTGACTGAACCTCCTCAGACCTAAGTCAGAATAATTTCAAAGGCTCAAATCTGGACTTCAATTTTAGAAAGTTACTTACCATTTAAAAAAACACACAAGGATGCAGTAAGTAATTTTAATTCAACTCTGCCAACATTCAAACATTATAATTCAAAATCTAAAACAATTATGTAACATTCAAATATTTCTCTATTTGCTATCCAAGCATCTGTAGCTCTTTAAACCTCATAAATGCATGCTCACATAAGTTACTTGGCATTAAAATTCCTTTCAGCTCCTAGTATAAGCAAGTTGTAAGGCCATCAGAAAACAGCAGAATTGCCAGTTGAAAATTAGATTCAAAGCAAAAATAAAATCAGACACTAACTAACCCAAGTTTACTATACTAGGCTAAGAAGATATATGAAAAAAGTCTAAGTGGCAGTCTCTGCCTTGTAAATTTAACTAAGCAAACCCAAAGGCACGTAGTTCTCAAAGCGTAGCACACCTCTACAATCAAAAGTACATCCTTTCTGGGTGTGAGAACTACAGTCACAACATTTTCAAGCCGACCCACTATTAAACTGCCACCAATTAGGACATGAAAAATCGTAATCTTACCTCTATAAATTTGTTTAAGGTTGCATTGGTTGGATTGTGTGTAATAAGAAATCTCATGTTCTTGTATGTGACTTCCACAGGAGCAGGGCGGTTCATTCGAGCCATGTTAATTTAGTTTAAAAAAACACCCACAAGGGCTATGAAAGAATTAAAAAACTGAATACAGAAACGATTCAAAACAAAAAAACAAAAACAAAAAACCTGAAGTCTACTTCAATATTCAATATACTCCACTTGAAATTCTCAGTGCTTTGAGTATGAATTGGGAGAAACGGGCAATGAAATGAACCTCCTAACAAGAAGCGGTGATTCTTCAATCCAGTAAGACCGAGGCAATACAAAGGAAGTGCACTGAGGTTTACCCCATCCAGGTCTGAGCTCTTGGAAATGCTCTGCAGATTTCAATTCAACACGCCTGTGTCCGGGTTATCCACTCCTATGGGGGCTTCTTGGTGGAGTAGTAATGAATTTCTACAGTTCACTTGTCTGCATAGAGGTCGTGCTGTGCCTGGCAGTAATCTCCACTGCCCTTCAGAAACTCCATAAATGTGTGACCGAGAACACCACAGAACTGCTGTTTAGAAGAAAAAGAAAGCAAGAAAGGGAAAAAAGTTATTTTCTAATTCAAAAGGAATGTCATGCTTTTTCCACCAAGTACACAACTGTTCAAATTAGAGACAAACTAACTTGATATCAACTTATTTGCATTACAGAATTCAAGGTTACTGCATTTGAAATCAATGGGCCTAAAGCAAGCAGTCACAAGCCCATGAAAGTGAAGCTGCTAACAATGTTCAGAGAGGGTCACTGCTACATTTGGAATCCCACGTACACATCCATATGCACATACGTAATTACTCCTCTTTTCAGTTATTCTTTTTCTGGACAAAACTACGTACATGTTTTCTACACTGCCTTGGCCTGCTGTTTAAACACTACATAAACTCCATGCAGTCTCAAACTTCGATGCTCTCAGTTTTTGTATAATTCACTGAACTAACAGAGAATGATTTCAGTTGCCCACTAGTTCTTCGATTTTATGTTATTAAATTACTGTGATCAAAGGAAGGAGATATCTGTTATATGGTCTCCCCCCCCCAAAAGCATTTTTATTTGTCTCTAAAGTTTAAAATTTAAGGCCAGTCCATTTCCCTTTTGTATTTTGTAGCAGTTCCTTGACATTACAATTTATGCCCATTTATAGCTTTAGGTAAAGCAAGTCCTAGTGTAAGCGTATCATCAAGCACTTCAAGCACATAGGAAGGAACTGGCACTGTCACCATACTCTGGAGGGGAAGTGTGTGGGAGGGTGGGGTTCTATCATGATGGGACTTACAAGACACTGGACTCATCTCTATGCCTGGAATGCCAGGCCATCTTGTTTCTATAACCACACTGCACTGAGTGATCTCCCAGTGAAACTGTAAGCAATCTCCTACTTAAATACTCCTAAGAGCTTTTACGCCGTCTCTTTGGATCAGATTGGCTCTTGTAAATACAATTTACTTAGGTCTTTAACCATATCCTATTTAAGTTATGTTCAAATAAAATATACACAATAATATCTTTCCACTATTTTAAAACTCTTAATTCCACTTTTCTGCTGTAAAACTAAAATACAATTCAAATATGAAAAAAGGAATGTTAAGAGTTTTATAATGGTCTCAAACACAATGTAACTATAAACATTGAGAAATACATTTCCATAAGTTCCTTTAAATCATATTCATGTGTCAGCAAATAGTGTATTCATATTCACACTATATTTTTTCAGACTTTACACAAAAAACCCTTTCAAATAAACCCAGTAGAAGTAAATGGGGCTTAACAAAACCCTTTACTGCCTATCTACTCTAGGCAGTTTGCAGAGGAATGAAGAAAAGCAGTTGCACTCAGTAACAAGAACACTCAATGACAACAACCATTGTCCTTCAGAGCAAACTACTGAAGTAAAATCTTAAGACAAAATCGGAATCTGACTTAAATTCCGACTATTTTTCTGGTGAAACAATGAACTAGTCCCCAAAATTCTATTTACCAGAAGATACCACAAGCAAGACAACTTATTCCCAACATGTGTCCTCACAAGATACATCTGTCCAGTGAGATATAAAAACCCAGTGTATAAATTACCAGTGAAGATAAGAGTACTCCCTGAAGTACTAATAACAATCTAAAAATAACTTTCCTATCTATCTATCTATCTATCTATCTATCTATCTATCTATCTACCTAGGCACAAGTTTCTTGTCCTAAAGTTTTTTCTTTTGCTCTTTTTTTTTTGGGGGGGGTAATTTTGGCACTTATCGAACATTCATAGACAGGACCTACAAAGCTTTAAAGAGTTCCATTAGAAGCTGGACAGCAGCAAGATTTTTTTTTTCCTTAACTGCTTTGAAATGAGTGGAGCCACCCAGTGGCTGGAGGACGCTTCTGTTCAAACAGTGGAGACCACCGACATCCTTGTTAACATACCCCCATTCCCTCGCCGGCAAAAAAACTAATCATGATAGGCAGCTACGACACCAGAAGAGATCTTTCAATTTTAATTGCATGCACCAACAGCACATAACCAGAAAAAAATGACCATTTGTGTGTGTGTGTAGCATTAGCTTAAGTCTGTCGGACTGCAGAATCAAACCAGTCTGTGGAATGATCTGCTTTATCCAATTCTGTTCCAAAGACACTCAGGTTTCAGGTAACGCGCCCAATCTAGTGCGTGTGAAGCGCTGTTTCTTTCCGGGAACATATCGCGCTTTTCTGGGTTTCCAACCGTTTAAGCCGGCACCAAGCAAACAGCTAAAAACCAAGTCAGGATGCACGACCCCCCCACCCAAACCCCCGTATCCAGACCTCCGGTCAGTCCATGGACCGTTCCCACACCGTGGAAATTTCGGCTCACCGGCGGTGGAATGGTGCAGGGCTGCTCGCTCAACAGGAGCCGCGCAGTTCTGACCAGCAGCTCCTGTTGCTCCCGGCCCTAGAGCGGCCGGCCCCACGCGCAGCCCGCCTCGGGGCCGGGTAAGGGACCCCCTCCGCCGCCCGGGTCGCCCCTACCGACGCCCGGCGGCGATCGGGCAAGCCCGGGCTTGAGCGGCGCGCACAGCCGCGAGGTCCGCAATCACGGGTTCGCGGTGGCGAGCGCGGGCGGCCACCGAGGCCATCTTGGGAGGCCCCGGGCGCCCGGTCCCGGTCCCCCTGCCGCCCCGCCCCGGCCACGTCCACGACAGCCGCGCGGCTTCTCGGAACAAAGGCCGCCGGGTCGCACGCGCACAAAGCCGCTGGGCTGCCCCGCCGGCCGCTCCCGGTCCGGGTCCCGCCGCCGGCGTCCCGGTCGGCCGGCCACCCTCCCTCTCCTTCAGTCGCCCGCTCTAACAAAGGCCGGGCCCGCGGTACTCACAGGAATATGTCTACTCATTGAAGATTGTGGCCTAATCATACAGCCGATCCCGAGGCGGCGCAGGCGGCGGCGGCAGGGCAGGCGGCGGTGGGCGTCGCGGGGCGGCGGCGGCGATGCAGGCGGCGGGGGCACCAGACGACCATGCAGTGAGCTGCCTGAGGAGCGTCGCCGAGCCGGCCGCAGCCTAGAGCCAATGCACGCGGCCAAGCGCCCTTGCGTCACAAGCCCGCCCCTTTATAGCCGGAGCGACGTGCGCACCGGCGGCGGCCAATCACAGCGCGGGACGCCTGCGGCGCGGGGCGGGGCCCGGGACGCAGACGTCACTCGCGGCGGCTGCCGCCGGTGCGAACCGGTTGATGAATGGCGCGGAGTGCTAGCGGGTCTTCACCACCGAACGCTCTGGTCGCTAGAGCCGCGAGTTCGCCTCAACTTGGAACGCCGCTCCGGCGGGAGGGACCTTGTAGCCCGAGGCCATAGCTCTATCGAGCTGGCCAACGGTTTACCTTGGCACTTGCCCCCCAGGATCTCCGTCATCACCCCATATTGATGTCGCATGACCGCTGGGCGGGTGACTCACCGCTCCAGAGCCCGGCTCTAGGCTGGGACTAGGGAATCTCGTCACCACCGGCACCTCCACGTGTGGGAAGGCTCTCCGTAGAGATTAGCCCGTGAAACGCGGGAATGTCCCTATTTTTTTTTTTTTAAAGACAAGTGAAGCCTGGTTGTTCCCGAACCGTTCTCCTCACCCCCCCCTTTTTTAGGTTACACCCCCAAACTGCTGATGCTGGCAACTGCAGTTGGCTCGATTGTGGCATTTCGAAATCACATGCATCCTTTGTACTGCTACTCACTCACAGATAATGAAAGGTTAGCTTTTGCTAAGGGGAAGCTTTTTTTTTCTTTTCTTTTTTTTTAAAAAATTAAGAATCTTCGGCTTTATCAAGGGACTAATGTAGTTTGTGACAAAAACTAAGCTTTCCCCTTTTGTTGATCTTCCTGTTCCAGTGTCCTTTTAGTCTAGGTTTCTAAGTGAAGCCTGAGCTCAGCTGTTTCTGTATCATACAAGGGCAGCTTTCATCCGAAAACCTTTTCTCGCTCGTCTAGGACAGGTAAACAGGACCTTTACCTGCTTTGAAGAACTCAGCTTTCCAATGACACTGAGGCCTTTTGTTCCCTGTTTTTCTGCACGTTAGATTCGAGAAACCATAAGAATCAAGTTGTGCCCACCCTTTCTGTGTACTGCGTTTTGTGATTAGGATTTCTAGTTAGAGACTTTCCTTGCAGTTACTCAACTGTCTTATAAACATGTACTCTGTAAGCAAAGTAAGTGCATTAAAAAGGGGGGGGGAGCAGACCTTTAATAACAGCAGCAACAACAAAAGGCAACTCATCGTCATTAAAAAATGCTTGCCCAGAAATCCATTTAAAGTCAAGAAGCTGAGACAGATCCCTTCACAAATAGAGATAAAGTTGGGTAACTATTCAATTATGTAAGTCCTAAGAAAATGCAGGAAGATTAAAAGAAAAATCTTGGGACAGTAAAGTGAAGTCGAGCAGATCAGGAAACTCAACAGAAGACAGATTCAGTATTACAGAACTAAAACCTTTCATATGGCCAGTAACTTTGGTAAGTATTAACTTGAGCGTGAGGGAAAACATGGACAGAATGAATTAGAGAATAGCTTGGCCAACTTGTATAATAACATACTTAGACATATTAAATCAGCATCTCTTACCCCAAAGGTTGGTCAACACAGTCAAACAAAAATAATGACACCTTTCCCGAAGGGGAATTTGGTGAGCTAAAATAACTCAGCAAGTAGTAAGCAACAGTAAATCAATGTCTTAGTTTTCTAATACAACCTGTGATGCAAATTGTGAGCTGTGTAATCCACAGATCCTGTAATTGCTGACAGTAGTTGCTGCTGTATGATACTTGACTAGCTCTCCTCTTTGAGCTCTAGAAGTTTGACTTCTGTCAGGAAGAGGAATCGTCTCTATGGGGATTATCCTTTTATAAGGAATTGCCACCCAGTCCTATTCTGGAAAGGGACATAATTCTGTCCTTTGCTGCTGAAAGAATGTATCTTAAACCAGATACAGATTTGCTGGCCAGTCAACTAAATTTTTACAAGGAGGTCATGGCCTATCTCTTTGGCAGCCACTGGTTACTTGGTGTCTTGGGCTGGTTTATCGGTTTGCTGAGGGTTTCTGTTCTAGTCGTTGAGTAGTTGGAAGCTGATCTCAGGAGTAACCATCCCAACACTGAGCAAGGTTCAAGTCAATAGGACTTACCCACTGGTGGCTGGGACATTAAGCACCCTCTATTTAGCAGATGTTAAGAGAATAAAACAACTTTGAAAAACTAGTGATTAGACTCCAGAAACCCTAAGTGGAAGAGAACCACTTCTGCCAAACAAGATGCTCACTGGAAGCTCCTTAGTAAAACCTGTCCTTGGAGCTTTTATCCGAATAGCCAAGTATAAAAAACAGTACCTAGAAGATAACAGATGAAGGGAAGGTCACTATGGAAGATTAAAGACAGCTACAGCCGAGCAGTGGTGGCTCATGCCTTTAATCCCAGCACTTGGGAGGCAGAGGCAGGAGGATTTCTGAGTTCAAGGCCAGCCTGGTCTACAGAGTGAGTTCCAGGACAGCCAGGGCTATAAAGAGAAACCCTGTCTCGAAAAACAAAACAAACAAACAAAAAAATAAAGACGGCTACAGATCAAATCCAAACGAGAATAGAGAATCTTCAAGCATAGCGCATCTGTAAACAACAATCTCATTTATGCCAAGTGTCTAAAAAGATTTCATTCTCCGAATCTTTTGGATTGTGTGGGGCCATAAAGGCCCACGGAAGGATTGCATTTACATAGCAAAATGATATTGTTGTATAGAAAGAACATACGTGACAGTATCAACTGAGGAACACAAGTAATGTATATGAGGACTAAGTATATTGGATATGGGCAAATATCTGGATAGCCAGAGCTGAATAGGTGTGTCGATACTTGGGCAGAGCTCCCATTACCGTATTTAAGAAAGTTTTTTTTTTTTTTTTTTTTAGCAAAACTGGGTATACAGCAATGGCCAATGTCGGTATTGCCTAGAATAGCAATTAGTAAAACTAAAAACTAAAACATACCCTATGGATACATTTTTTTTTTTTTTTTGGATCAGCCTGGGTCTAGTTATACAGACCTGTAATCTCAATTACTTTGGAAGCCAGAGGATCCAGCGTTCATTCTGTCTCCAAAAGCAAAACTGTACTGGATGGGTTAAGAGTCCCGTGTTGCTCTTCTAGAAGACCGGGTTTACCAGCACCTGTGTTGGGCAGCTCATAACCTTTTATAACTCTAGATTCAGGGTTTGTGATGCCCTCCCCTAGCTTCTGCAAGCACCACCTGCTCTCACACAAAAATACACAACTAAAAAGCAACAAGAGCACTGGTGATATAGCTCAGTGGTTAGAGTGCCTTACAAGGTCTTGAGTTCAAGCCCCAGAACTGGAAAAAGGTTAAAAAAAAGAAAAAAGGAACTACTACTATAGTCAGAGATGTTTTGATGAATAAAAACACAGTACTATGTCAAAATTTCTGTTGGAACTTTTACAGCAATTTCCAGTGAGGAGCTAAGTTTGTTTGCAATAAACTTTTCAAGGAATAAACCATAGATGACATCCATAGGCCAATGCAGACCATTATGCCTTACATAAAGTCAGGCAACATAGAAACTTTCAATCACATAGGAGATTACTACAGCTAAATATTCATGAATAAACTCGGGTGTATCAATATTAAGCATCCTTTTTGGGGTTGTGCTTTTGTTTTTAAGGTAAGGTCTCGGGTGATGCAGGCTGGCCTCAAACACTAGCTGACTCTGGCCATGAGCTCCTGATCTTTCTTATTCTACATCCCAAGTGATAATGCTCCAGGTGTGCTTTACTATGCCTGACTAAAATGAAGATAGTAAAGTGTCAAAGTCATAAGAAGTAATAGTTTCTAAAACCAAAACCAGGAACTCAACATTTAAAAAAGTTAAGAAAATTATATAATTTGTATCACTAGCATTTTCTTTCCCTTCTCAAAGTAAACCTGAAAATTTCTCATGCAGTCTTTAAAACAGATATATTCTCTTTTTTGGGGGGGTGGGGAGGACAATGTGTCACCACTGCCTGGCTGATATGTTTTCATTTTAACAGCTACTTAATAAAAAGAATAGTTCCTTGGGAGTGGAGTGTGCACATCAAGATGTGACAAAACAGAGTGGTCATGAGAATAGTATTTTTAACTTGTGATAAAATGATTTCCTTTAGGCTGCATAAAGGTTTACTATGGCCTCAAACAATTCAGGAGTTTCATATCCTGTGGTTCACATTCTGGTACCTGAGGAAATCTAGTTTGAGAAGTATTATTTTTAGAAAATCTGGCATTTGTTTTCCTTGTGATTCTGCAGCCTGAATACAGATCGTTTGGGAATTGGAAATCTGCAGGGCTATAGCTTCCATGTGACTGTCTAGAATTATGTGCTGAATTATGCCAGTCTGAAAGGAAGCAAAAAAAAAATAGCTTAGGAAAAGAGAAGTTACTGTGGAGTGGAGTGTAAGTAAATGTTAAATGTTGGCTGTGTATCCTATGGCAGAGCTGGCACTTGACAGATTTGAATTCTCGGAGTTGGCATTTAGGCTGTAGATAATCCAGACAGACACTGACCGAAGCCACAACGCTCTGGCAGACTTACGTAAGAACATCAACTGTTCTTAAACAATTTCCTGCACACATGGGATCATGGCCTCGTTTAGGAAAGCTGCAGAAGTCATTTTTTTTCCCGGCTAACAGGTGTGACATTTACTTGGGCAGGTGGAGAAAACATTGCCACCTGTGCACTCAGTCATTGGAGGACACTGAATGAGGGCAAATAAGAGCAAAAGCCTTCAGAATTTCTGAAAATGTATAAGAAGTTCTCGTGAATTGTTTCCTTTTTTTAAAAAAATTTCTTTTGAGACAGGGTCTCACTGGCTTGAAACTCACACAGATCTACCTACCTCTGCCTCCCAAGTGCTGGGGTTAAAGGTGTGGGCTACCACATGGACTCTTAGTTGATTCCTTGAATTCTTCATCAATATAGCAGATGTTCAAACAATACTCTGGTATTTAAGT